CTGACTGCCTGAAGGCTGCTTGTTCGGATTCCGAAAGCAAATCTACTCTACTACCGAGGCTATTTACATCCACCATCTGAAGCCGGAATTATGTGTACATAACCGATGCATACGGCCGATACTACTACCGTGGCCGACTGGCCTGGTTACTTAAATCCCGATCGCTACCTCCCAAATTTACTTTAGGCTGCGGAAGCTAGGGTATTAACGTTTCTTTTTATGCACTTTGGTTGCCATCCGTAGCCGACTTTAGTCATCCATCCTGACGTTTCAAACACCTTAGAAATCAATCCCAGCCCGATTTGACGCTTACTCCAAACAATCAGCTTTATATAAATTTTTGTATCTGAGGAAAATTTACCGAAATGAATTCTTAACCTTTAACTGATTTCTGGTATTGATTCTTTTAAATGCAGTGTTAAATTTTGCTTCGCTGAAGAACGGCTTTTCTGTGTTCCGTTAAATTTTACGATCACAAATAACGGTTTTCTGGGCCTCAATATTTTGTTCATTGTAATTGCGGTACGATTTCGACCATAATATTTAGATCATTTTCCATCGTTTGAAATATGTATACTAAAATTATTATTAGGTTTTGATCACTTGCGATGTGAAGAATTGCACAATTAAATCCAATGAGACCGGCTTTGCTAGGTTTGTACTAAGGAGTCAAAAGTTTTCTTAAAGTCTCAATCTGTGAATTTTTCAAATCAAAATGAACAGAATGGGTAAAGACATAGCAAATATTTTTGCTCATGCTAATTAACATGCGCCTTTTAAAAAGTCGAAATAGCACGAAAAGATCGTGTTTTTCTAGTATCATTTACTTATACACGTAGGTTATGCATTGGTCACTCTATATATTAACAGCAGGCGAATCGGTTTTTTTGAGTTATCCATGAAGGTAAAGCGCACATGCAGAAATAAAGTGATTCCTCGAAAGCAAATAGCGTCCGCAGCTTTTACTTAAGCCGTGTGAAAGATTGGCATTCCGCTGTCCTATTCTACGATAGCGCCACCAAAATTTATCTTGTAGCAAAACAAGGTGGACAGTAGGAGCTCATATTCTTCATAAAAACAGTGCTTTGTAATAACTGTTTCGTTGTTTTGTGCCAGTTACAGGTTACTGTAGACCTATTGTTACAGTTTTATCCTTAGTTATACACAAACTGCTAACAGGGACTTCAAAACCACTTACAAGTGTAAGTAATGGCATACCCTCACGTACAAGTTCGGATTTTGTTCACATTGTCTAATGATCGGTCAAGAAAGGATGGTTTTGCTCCATGCAAGATAAAGCCCGTTGTATTGGTACGCTTGTGCTTTTAGCAACTTGAATGGTTTTATTAAGGCCAGGCTGAGTTAGGCAAACAGGAAAGTGGTATGAATATGCGCTGTGGGCGAGCACCGGTGAGTAGATTTGTCCATCCAACAAATTATCTGTTTTGTAATGATGCTTTGGGCCAAGATGCTTCTTATATCCTGGAACAGGCAAAAAAGGACAATTCGCATCATAGTAAAAAGTGAGTGCTTTAACAATGGTAGGCCATCTCACTTCGTAGAGTGGTAAAAAGAATACTGTAATACATGCAAGAGACCGGTGCAACGTGAATGAACATGGAGGAACAGCCTTCCTACATTGCTATTAGAAATTAGTTTTTCCGTCAGCTTCCGGCATCTACGATTCACTGAACTTATTCTCCGGTGCAGGTAAGCGAATGCGGGCGTTAGGAGTCGGCATCACATGGTAGATACTGGATAAGATTCCAAAATTTAGAAATGGATAAATACACTTTTTCTTTTAGTAGATGGGTGATATAGTCAGAGTTATGCTAGCCCTACATGAATACACAAGTCATTTGCTATTCTTTTTGATTTGGCTTTTGATTTCCGTTGTATTTTGCATAGAGATATCGATTCCTTTATCTGCGGACCGTAAATACCAATCGCTTAAGTCAATTTCCGCAGTAATATCATGATAAACATAGCTGGGAACGAATAGTTAACTCTCTTATTTAGCGTATCGCAATTCTTCAACGGACACGAAATCACCAAATATTATGATCATATACATCCTTTGAAAGATTTGGAGAGAGTACTCATGATTTTCAGGTGAAGAGAATATACGCAGTTATTCATATTTTTTTCAAATTGAATCCAAATTCATCAAATCAACTTAATGAACGAAACTTTTGGTAAGATCTTGCCTGTAGAGAATCAGATTATGGTTATTTGTGCTTAAACCTTTCACAAATATGTGAAAATAATTCAGTACATAAGAGGAATGAAATTATGCAAAGGGAATTAGTCTGATAAGCGAAATTTACGAGGTCCTTCAACGAATAGCTACATTTGTATGTACCGAAAGCTTCGCTAATCGCAATTCGAATATGACAGCATAGAAGCAATAGTTTCCAATGCGTTGCTGAGGTACTTTTCCACTGCAATCTATAAACAAAAGATGTCGTCGCTAAGTGCTGTGGAATTACAAGCGGTATGACATTCGATTTCAGTAGAAAATGTTTATTCGTTATTTTAGCAACGTTTAGTTTAGTCAGTGTTTTTATCGTATTTGAAAAACTCATGTCTTACGTTTTCGTTGTTTATATTTTTGATTACATTTGAACGGTTTTCTGCTTAGGTTCTAATAAATAACCAGGCTGTCCTGATTTCCTGGGTTTTGTTTGTGTGTCGACAGCATGTAGAGAAATGGAGTTGTTCACTTATACATCGCAAGTGCAATCTTGAAACTAACGCTCATTTCTATCTGCATAGGTGCATGTCATAAATGTTTGGAGGATTTTATACCAATAATAAGCTTCCGTTGTAATGAAAACACACACTCTATGTAAATTATTAACCGAAGGTTCATTTATATGATACAACTTCAGACGGAGTTAAGCGTGATGAAATATAATAAGACTAATTCTGGAAGCGTCGACAAAATAATTGAAACAACCAATAATTACCGACCTTAGCCAGGAGTACACCTTAGTCCATCGATTTCCTTGTGCGCTTTTATCATTCCTGTACTATGTGGTAGTTTTCGAAGCGACGAAGCATAGATAGCACATTTTAAACTAATGTTATGTCAAGATTTTGTCAAGATTTTAGACTATGAGTCTCAAAAGACATTTTTATTGAGAACCTGTTGTATATATATTTATTTATTTACGTGTTGGTATTCTAAATGTTTTCTTTAACCAAATCACATTGCATGGTTGGAATACCATAGTTCTTTAAAGAATTATAGCATTAAGTAACTATTCATTGTTTAAATATGCTTTCTATTTTCATCCATAATATTTAGCTTTGGATTTCCATATAGTCAGGTCGCCTCAGAAGATGCAAAGGATAACTTTCTATAAATACCCTTGTCACCTACGACCTCTTCTCATCGATGAACTTTTAACTAATTGACTATTTCCCGTAAAGGCCCAGCGAATTCGTTTCGGTAACTGGAATCGAAGGCTGTTGTGATGGGCTCGAAGGCTTTAAACTGGAACTACTCGCGCATTGACATTAATTACATAACATGAGACGTCTTCCAGTAACGAAATAAAATAAGAATGATAAACATACAATGGGCAAACAGGGATTTCTGATTTGCTAAATTATAATTCCAAATAAATTTCAAAGCTATTTACATTCACTTAACTTGCAGTAAGTGGCTAATTTGCTTTTGGTGATAAGTGTATGTTTAAATAACGGATGTATGCTATGTAGATGATGCTTGAACATATAAACTATGAACTCTAAACGGATGCAAATATACGCCATATATGACGATGGGCTAGTCTATTTCCTTAGGCAGCTGAGTATAGGCTGTCACAATGCACGTGCACTCCACCAACTAAAGTACCAAGTTTCGCAAATTGATAACCACAATGATTATCCGTCTGACAAAATATGCAATGCTTAAATTCATGTTGAGGAAATGATGTAACTAAATTTGGTACATTCATTCATGCATATTCATTACGCATCAGTAAGAATTATTTAACGTTTTCAACATTATATACACATATATAATTTAAGGCTATCTGAACAGTGAACTAGATGGTACATGTACGGCCTATATATTCTAGGCAAATTTCCGAGATTTAACCTTAGTTGTTTTTAAGCGAAATAATTCAGAGCTTAACTAAGTTGGATTACTTTGTAATCATCAGCCCAAGGTGTAAATGTTGTGCCACAAATTAACACATAATTCCTCTTAGCAATAAAATTTTTAGCTCTGTTTTACCTAAACAGTTGAAAAAAGGATGAAAAGCGGACGTGATTTTCACAATGGGGAATATGCAATTCTTTTATGATCAAAGAGTTTGCTATTAACCCCATTACTTTGCAGTATTTTGGACACCCTAGGGTTCAAATTGAGCATCATAAATGCTCCTCTCCGGCATATCATTGAGTATATCTTCATCTTTTCGTAGTAATTATAGGGTTGTAACTAAATCCAGGTAGGTTGACTAAGGCTATTATTGGGCTGTACCAGCCTGAATACATTAGCGCATCTGATAGTCACAAAAGAATAAAATGTATTATAGGCTGCTACATATCTAACAGCGGTTTCGTTGACCCATAAATGAACAAGTAAATTTCCCACGCTTCGAGTTCGCTGATGCTGCTAATATGACAACAGAATAGGACAAAACCTATCTATATGGTAAAGCAAAACGGTATAGTTACGCAAGTCCATCAATTTTCTCAAATTGAGCATAGAACTTTGATTGTGCGACGATCATCACATGCTATTGGCAGTAATTATTCGGGATAAAACTATTTTTCACTACAACCTAGGAAGGAAAAGAAGACAAACAACGACTTGCTAGCGGTATGCTAACAATATAATTCGACCAATCATATTGCACGTTTTGGCTTAATGAAGCAAGAAATCTAATGAAAAAAGCTTTGTGGTGTAGAGTATGAGAATATCTACCAACTATTTCACTTTCAATTTTTTGAGAATAATAGTTATTTTCTTTTCTTTCTACCAGGTGTTGATTCAGTCAACAAACCGAGTTTCGCAAAAAATTTTCCTCAGTGCGGGCAAACGTTTTGCAATTGTATTCCCATCAGTCAAGATGAGAAGCCGTGACCTACTGCCAGGGATTATTACCAGTGTTATTGGTTATATCTTCGTTTCGATAACTTCGGTGTGCGGACTAAGTTCACATGAACTGTGCGCCAGTAAAGTCTGCAGTGGCTGCATTGCTGGCTCCTTGTCTTGTCAAGAAGGTGGGCTGAATCGTCTTCCAGACAAACTCGCAGCGGATATTCAATCCATAATACTCATTGGTCATCGATTTGATGTCAATTTTCTGACAGAAAGAAACTTCTCTAACTATCCACAGCAAACACAGCTGCTTCAGAGATTGACATTAAGAAACTGCGGTATTGAGCGTTTGTTCCCTGGCACGTTTAAGTCGTTAAAATCCCTAGCCCAACTGGATTTATCCCAAAATCGCTTACAGACTATAGAACCACGAACATTTATTGGCTTGAATCTTGAACTACTTCGATTGGACGAAAACCCTGGTCTATATTTTTCCTCTGAAGCTTTTCATGGTGTTTCCATTGTATCGCTGTCTGTAAGTCAATGTGGCTTGCGTAGTTTGACTTATTCAGATCTAGCTCCACTGTTTGAGAATAAAGTGCTGACTAATCTGCATTTATCAGGAAATAAGCTTATCACACTTGAAAGCCAACTTGCCTCATGGTTTTCAGAACTTCAGAGTCTCTCGTTGGAGCAAAACCCATTTGTATGTGACTGTCGGTTAAGATGGCTAACTGACGTACTTCAGCAGAGACTACATCGACTGCGTACGCGCGGCTTGCCTAATGGCGTGGGAGATATCAATTATTTTAATGATCAGACTCCTTCCAAAACGTTTACTGCTACACAAAACGACAAAGAAAATGCTCCATTGGATGAGGACTTACTTAAGCCTGTTTGCCGAGCCCCGGAGAGACTGGCGGGAAGGCTGATTGAGAAGTTAACTCATAGGGATTTCTACTGCGATTTACCACAACTCCAGGCTATTGAGGTGGATTTAAGCCACTCCAACCAAATGCCAGCTGAGTCCAGCCTGGTTACTCCCCACCAGATGGATGCTATAACGAAATCCCTGCATGCTTTACGTGTTTCTTTAAGGTGCGTAGTCAAAGGATCTCCAGAAGTTCAATTATCATGGTACCGGCGCCAATCACCTGAACTATTGTCACATTTGGGATTGCGAGACAAAGTTGAAGAGCTCTACAATATTCCAAATTCCAGAGAACGCGCACCTGGTGTTGTAGAAGTGTACTTGACACACCCTTATCCACGTCCATCCCATAGCCTCACACAAGTTGGCTTAACGAACGGTGCGGATTCTGTGGAAAAGCTGGTTTGCTTGGCTACCGATTTGAATGGAAACACAAGTACGGAAGTGAGATTACGATGGCCCTCCCATTTCGCTCCGGAACTCACCCTTAACGAACTTCACGATATGGGCGTGGCACAGTCCAAATATATCGTAGCAGAGTTGGAAAATCCTTCTCATCCCCAGACTACTTCAAATTTTCCAGAAACCACGCCAGCTGCAATAAATACAAGACTGCGTCCAGACTGGTACTTGTTGACCGGAGAAGATCCTAATGGATTCTGGTTGCAGGTAATTTGCTTTAATAGAACAAGTGTATTTGCTTTGAGTCACGAATAAAACACCAATGTATAATTGCGCTCTATGAAACAAGATAGAAATCAATTCTAAACCAGATGGCTAACGCTCAAGCATGCAATGAAAGAAATTTAATGAGACGATATCGCTTGTTTATGTTCATATAAATAATCAGCATTCCGGTTTATTCAAAAGCGATTGCTTAGTAATAGCAAACATATGTCATACGTACGGGTGTAGACCTAAGACATCAAATGCACGCTGACTTGTAAATGTGTATATGAAGGAACAGGATTGCACTAATGTACACTATCATTAGTCGGCGTTATGTTAATCGTGTGATATATTCTTTTCTATATCTTGACAGAAGCAATTCTCCACTATTCAAATGATCGGGGCCGTTGTAGGTACGTTCACAGTCACTCTACTTTTGTTCATATTTGGCATACTACTGCTGCGATTTCATCGCTTCCACCAAACATGCTTTCGGTCAAGAATCCTACTACAATATTGCAAACAGCAGCATTCCCCTCCGTGCAACAAATATCCCATTCCGCCAAGTTATTCCACCACAGCGATTCCATCTGCGCACTCCTTCGTTTATCCTGGTTCTAGCGTCGCAGTTTCGGAACTACAAACATCATTTGGTCAGCAGTCATCTTATCAAATGTCTCCTATAAATTTTGTGAAGGAAAATGGTCTAATGACGACAGAAGTTAATCAAAATAGACGCATAAACTATGCGGCATACATGCCTGTTACAGCACATGATGTTCAAAGTGCTGCAACATATTCTGATTCGTCAACATATGATCTACCCAACTTACCACAAGCATTATCGCATCCTAGGGTACCGTTACCGCCAGTGCCTATGCCGTCGAACCAGCAACTAATCGCGCTTGGAGCGCAAGCGTTTGAAACATTTGATCACACAATGCTCAATACTTCTCAGCGTTCCATCACTGACCCCATACAAAAGAAGTATGACACTTCCTGTACTCCGATGATAGCAACCAACGCTGATCAAATGTCAGCCGCACTTGCGATGGCAGCAACATTAAATCGTTTACGAAGCTCACCGCTAATTCAAGGACAGTTGCCATTCCACTCCAATAGAACTCTTAATCGGCAATCAGTGGTATCACCTGTTTCAGCACATAATAAACCATTCACATTTGTCAATCAGTCACACAAGTGAAATAATGACTAGCCTGTGATTAACAGACATAAAGCATGCAAAAATTGCATCCACCGCCAGAAGAATGGATTAACACGTCACCTACTATTTATCTTCCAACTGAATGCAAACGACGATTTCAACTGTGTGATATACACTTCCTTTCTACTAAAACGGATTTGCTGGGCTTATCCCAATTTAGCCTGAGTCAATAATCGGTCACGTGCTCAAAAATCTAACCAGTAACTGCCTTTCCTTCTTTCAAATTATAGACATCAAATACATTATTTAATATTTTCTTTACTAAAAGGATTTATTTTGCTTTTGGATAAAAATTTATTAAAAGCCCAGTTGTCACAATGGAATTGCCATATTTCTGTGATACGATATTTGAGCCGATTTATGTCAAGAGTAGAATAATGCGATTTTAGCTAACCCATTAGGATATGCCTCAAGAAAACACAACCTAATTTAGTTAGGTTAAATTGATTGCGAATTATACAGTTATTATCACTACGCTGCTTATTTCAATGTTAAGCCAATATATTAAAATACCTTCAGCATCATATTTTCATTATTAACCTTTTAAGTAATCAGCAATAAAACTTAAGTGGCTAATAGCAACAGCGCAAAAAAGTATGAGTGATTATCTTAGTTTTAAATATGTTTTCTGATGCGGTAGGCCGTTATTTAAAGTTTTGATTTACCATTCCTTTATACTTTTAACGGTATGTAATTCGGATTCAATTGAAACATATGGGAAACGCTGCTGACACATTAGCCACCGTTATGGTATTTACGACTAAAGTTCCAACCTAAATATGGGGTAAAGTCGTTAGCTGATACCTTGCGTATTCAGCATAAAGTGATTGGTCTCCAGTATTGATTTATACCTTGTGATGGTAAGGCGCATCCGTTAGCCGGCCACAGTAAGACACTCACAAAACAAGCACGCGTATGCTCGCATGACCCCTATGGCGCACATTGTTTTCAAAATACTGGACCCTATATCAGAAGGCTAGCGGAGTTCACAAGTCATAAGGGTCGTTATAATCTGACTGTAATTATGGGACTTAGTTTATGTCACTGGAGGGTGACGAATTACTGTCACTACACATGGGGTTTAAAGCAGCACCAGAGTGCTTTTGGTGATGATGCGCCTTCAAGAACCGTCCCGTTTGAGCAGTTTGCGGAATTCAAGAGTAGCAGACTGTCCATGGACGTTGAGGCAAGTCGTTTGCGAGAAATGAAAGACAACGCGACGGACAACGTTGTTGCTATGTAAGCAATGCTGGAGCAGAAAGTTCGAGTGACTCTGATACAGCTGGGAATGCCATCGGGTTCCCATCGGAAGCAGCCCACACCAACCTTCATGAGAACCTCGGCCACAGAAATTTTTTGCCACACTGGATACCCCATCATCTTATTGAGGACCAGAAAACATTTCGGGTTAATTGGCACTACACTATTATTACAAGGATCTTGTGGCTGTTATAGTCCGGTTTGAGAGATCCTCAGTAGTGATGAGATCTGTGTGTACAGTTTCGCCCCACAGACCAATCAACAAGGTCGTTGTTGGGGCTTTGCCTCAGAACTTCCGGTGAGCGCTGTTTGTTCATGCAGATGGCAGGTGTGTTTGCGGCTAAGGCAGGTCATGTGGCTACTGTACCCATGGTACTGCAACGCACGGTCACAGTAGACTGCTACGCCACCCACTCTCTGCCACAATTGCTGATGGCTGGAAACAGGCGTCTACCAAGGACTCGAGCAAGAGGGAACTTGCTGTACCACAATAACTCACCAGCACACAGCTCACATGTGGTTGCAGATTTCCGGGCAAGAGAACACAACCAGGAATTTCCACACCCACCCTACAGTCCAGACCAGGCTCCGTGTGACATTTAGTGATCCTAAAGCCTAGTAATCAGGCTGGACCTTACCATGGTGCGATGGTTTGCATGCCTCAGAGCTCCATTTGGTTGTGCACGGTGGTGCTTTTCGCATCTCTAAATTCACTCATACCGGAAATGTCAACTTTTTATGCCAGAAACATTAATGCTTCCGTATTTCCAGGTTGGGGAATGAAGTAAGGGTTACTCGGTGTTACTTAAAAGGCGTTTTGTAGCCCAGTGCCAAAATCTCGTTGCTTTGCTGTCCGGATTTTAAACAAATGACTTTGGTTGAGAACTTAAGTCCTTCTCCAGTCTAATCCTGGGCAACCTGACAGTATCCTGTCCACGAAATACAATAAACTTTTACTTAAACAAATTATTGATGCCGTGGCCATCGCAGAGAATAATAGGCGGGACTCTATCTGTTGCATAGAAGAGGGTGGATAGGGGCATTTACGCTATTGCTTAAGCCCTCCCGTTTTCGTATTCCTCCTCTTAATCGTTTTCACTCTTATCGTTCCTTTCCAGCTTCACTTTTATTCCCCCAGTTTTCAATCCCCCAAATCTTGGACCTCCCCCACCAGGCTTTTATAGGCGTTTTTCTCTTATAGTTTTAACCCACATGCAAACCCGGAGTGTCAATACTGTCCAGTTGATAATCCCTTGTCCAAAGAAGTTTTCAAGCCTAGTGCATCGATTTTCATCTAAAGCCGTCGATCCTCTTTCAGCTTACATGGAATAATGTACGCACATTTATACAAATTGGTCAATGGGCAGCACTTGCCCGAATAATAGCGACACTCGCGATTGACATTTGCTGCTTTTCAGAAACCTGTCTGCGTGACTCTAGCGTTATGCTCAATTTGCAATCCTCTTCAGTTGACACCAACTTTTTTTCTCATTGCACCTACCGGGAGGCGATTCATCTTGCAGTGGTGTCGAAGCTCTTGTTTGCATTGCGTTGTCCCATGGCTGAAGTCTTTCGGTTTGATCGGATCCAATCAGTAACCCTACCTGGGCGGTCCGATTAGCTGGCTGATTCAAACCTTCAAAGTCGCTCTAGACTACTTTGTCTATTCGTCAACGCTGCCCACAAACAGTATGGATGATTCGATAAATGACGACTTCTATCGTTAAATGGACATGCTCCTTCACCACAGAATAAGCACGGACAATGTAATTCTGCCTGTGGATTTGAACGCTCAGTCTGGGCAATTATCTACTGATGAGCTGCATCTGGGTGGCCAACAATATGCAGGCCCCCGTTATAATAACCGTGAGCGGTGGCTTCATTTGTGTGTAGGTGCCTGTAGTATGCGATCGCTTGAGGTTTCCGAGGGTTTCCTTGTCCTGGGCGTAAGTGGGTCCTACTAGACCAAGTGGGTTGACAGACCATGGAAATACTTTGTAGGCAGCTGGACAACCGCTAAGTGTCAGAGTTGGATGGACGGTGCGCTTCTTTCACATATCTTGGCTAGCTGGACGGTACTGTCACAGATGCCGATAAAGAACCGAGCGCCAAGCAACTAGATGGACGCCGTGAAAGCGCACGATAAGGGTCTACTCCAACAACAGAAAAGACGAAATGGGAAAGTAATGATAAGAGGATACGACGAACATAATAAAGTTGACGCACGAGGACAACTTACTTGTTAGCCTGCTACAAAGGCACTATGACGCGTTACAGTTCCTGCATATTTCTTGCGAGAACTACCTTGCGATACAGTACCCGCTGGGCGGTGGCATGGCACTCACCAAACTTTGACCAGACATAGACGGAAATCTGTCACATTGCGATTCGTTTCTGTTGGACGAACTGAGTCCAAAAATGTCGCTCGATTCGAAGCATATGTGTGGACACTGATCTTGCATTTGCTTTTGCTGCTATTGGGTGCGTTTTGGAGGACGCCCTTCGAGCGCATTGAGACCAGCCAACTGGCGAAGCCAGCTGTTTTGAATGCGTAACGAATTAAGCTGAAATACTGGATGAGTATGCCCACACTGTATACAGTGGAATGTCACTGCTTGCATGTTCAACGGATCTTACTAGCGGAAGGCAAATCCTCATGTGTTAAGTCGGATAGCCAACATGGGCATTGAGTATATTCACGGTCTATTGAAGTTATGGTTGCTCACCGGCATACTTCCTTGCTAAGCTGAAGGGAGAACGAGAAGCTTGTTGGTCTCTTCAGGTATCAGATATGGAAGTGGTCATTGTCTTTGGTAACCCGTGTAACTTATTCCGTCTGATACTGGAAACGGGCAGCAGAAGACCTGATGTTCATGAACTATACGTGACGATAGTGAACAGCTTATCCACAACTTATCGAAACATGCAGTTTAGCGCGCATCAATTTGAAGTGCAATTTAATTGGTAGGAATTGTTCGATTTCTCGCCCGTTACGGCTGTCCTTGCTTCCTGAGCTATCCTTTGGATTCGCTCCCACTTTCAAAAAGCGAACGTGAAATACAACTGCTGAAGTTCAACAGCAACGCGAGAACAGTTTAATTTCCTCCAGTCCTCTTCAACTTCCTGGGCTCTGCTCTTGTTGATGACTTACACTAGTTATTATTGAAACTGCGAGAGCAAGAAACTGTCTCAGTCGGTTGGAGCCGCTCCGTCATAGTCTTAACTTTCGAAAGGAGGCTCAAGATCGGAACACAACAACCATAGAGGAATCACCCTGATTTCTATCGCCCCCAAATTGCTTGCCTCTGTTGTCCATTACAGACTGACTGGCACTCGTGAAATCCATATTCGCGAGGAGGAAGCCTGTTTTTGTCGAGGTAGAGCCTGCATCGACCATGATTTCATTTACGTAAATTGTCGGATTACCTGCACATAATCGGCGGTCGTCCGTTGTGGTTTTCCTATACACCTTATATGCATTCGATTCGGTTAATCTATGTGCTCTTCGGGACTGTCTACTTATGGAATATGTGCCCAAAAATATGTAAATATCCCAGAGTTGTATGCGAATAGCTCGGGCAGAGTGAGAGATTACGGCAAGCGGGCGTCTCCCTTCGTTATTTCCAGTGGTGTGAGACAAGGATGCCTGCTGTCACCCTTTTCCTACAACCTTACCATTTACGAATTAATCGACATCGCTTTCGTACGACACAAGTTAGAAGGTGTAGATCTGCTACCAGTTGAACGACTTCTTGAGTAGAGATAGGCTGACGTTAATGCTCTCATCAGTGACAACTAGTAAACATGGCAAACTGCACTGGAGAGAGTGGCACTGGCTATCAGTCAATTCGGGAATTATCTTGCACCCTCAGAATGCAAAGCCTTGATTTAAGCTTGACAATTACTGCCTCTAACGCTGAGCCTTGGAGGGGATGAGCTGGAAGTCGTTCATAATGTCAAATTCCTGGGAACTTGTATCTGCGCCCTTTGGAACGAAGAGGAGCTCAGGAAACTTATAGCAAAAGTTCAGTGCGCTTTTGCAAACCGTCACTATAGCATCG